GGAAGGAAGGAAGGAAGGAAGGAAGGAAGGAAGGAAGGAAGGAAGGACGGACACTTAGACTTATATACCGCTTCACAGTGCTTTACATCCCTCTCTAAGTGATTTACAGAGCCAGCCTGTTGTCCCCAACAATCCGGGTCCTCATTTTACTCTCCTTGGAAGGATGGAAGGCTGAGTCAACCTTGAGCCTGGTGAGGGTCGAACTACCAAACTTCAGGCAGCCGGCAGTCTGCAGAAGTAGCCTGCAGTACTGCACTCTGACCACTGCGTCACCGTGGCTCATAATCCCACCTCTCTCATTTGCGATTGTTAAGTGGATCACTAGGTAGAGTGCCTGGCCTTCTTGGATGCAGCAAGTCAAGGAGAGGACCCGGGCCTCCCACTACATCTGGGAGACCAGCTCACCAAGGAATGCAATGCAAATCCAGTTTCCCCTCCATTTGTAACCTTCACCGTCAGTAGAGGAGATTGCAAATGTTTGAAGGATGCTTGGCAACCGGTCATAAAGGCAAACAGGCTGCCAAGAATATGAGATGCAGTCATGTGACTGGGGGGGCATCTGACATGACATTTTACGATGGATGGAAATGCTTTATGGGCCATAAAGTAGCCATTCTGAAGTCATGAAACAATCAGTTGTAAGTCAAGGATTGCTGTATAACCTAGCTGAATGTGCCAAACAAGGGAGATGAGCCAGGAAAAAGACACAACTTATTTAAGGAAACGTGAATAGATATGCTTTGCATGTTTAGGCAGACACCAAAAGCACCACAGCCCTGCTGTCAAAGGGGGATTTTTTTGTTGTTTTTTTGGAAAAAAAAAGCCTCTCCTTGAGATACCTTCATATTCTTCATCGTGAGAAGGATGGTAACCAGTAGTTGTTCATGAAAGTGAGCTCTCCAGCTTGCTTTCTGTGGCTTCTTGTTCTCCAAAATCAATAAACCACATGAAGGGTGTCTTGTGAATTTTGCCTAGGGAGTTTTTAAAGATGTTAAAAAGTTTTAAGAAATGTAATAAAAGGCTGCATGTCAAGCCCGAAATTGACATATCTGTAGCCATTTTAGTTAGGCTTAGTATATATTCTTTTTTTTACTTTCTCTGTGGTAGTCATGGGGGAAGGGTTTCCTAAGGGGGGATGAGTGGAATTAGAGATAGTTGTTTAGGCTAGGTGATTCTTCTTCCCGTGGGAAAACGAGCTATCTGTGCTTAGGCCTCTTGAGGTGGAGATTTATGACATCAAGCAACATTGAATTACTTCTATTGGAGAATGTGACTTTTGGGCATTGTTTCTAACTTTGAATATTGTGGGGTAATTCCGCGTTGTATCAGATCCGGAATTATTATGGACTTTGCCAATTTGATGCTTTCCTAAATAAAAGAATTTGTCTTGGAAGACGGACTTTGTTCTTTTTTTAAAAAAAATGGATTTCATCACTTGGAAACCTGACACTGCAATCCTTTCTGATTAGAGGACACTGAATGTTTTGACCACTAGATGGTGGCCATCCACTGTGGATTAAGCAGCTCTTGAAACTTTCCAAAGTGACTGTTTTAACTTTCACTTCCAGTTTGGCAAATTAGCTGGAGGAAGTGGGACTGTTGTGTTTTTATGAGTAAGGGTGGAGTATTTGGGGTGTCAGTGACCCTCTTTCTGGCCACATGATCTTGTGGCTGCAGATGGCTCATGGAGATTAGTTAATCAAGTTCTGCCACCAAAGTAAGAGTTTTATTTTAATGCCTTCCTAGTTTTAAACTTCCACAGTTGAATTCTTTCTGCATCATTTTGAATTTGTTTTTGTGCCTACATCCCTAGCTAAAATGAGGACGATTAAAAGTCTTGAAGCAGAACATAAAAGAGGTGCTGCTTTTCTGGTCCTTCCAAAGTCTTGGGGAATCACGTAAAGGGATTTATAACACAATTTTCCTGGGCCTCAGGCCTCAAAACAGCGGGAAATGGTACCCCTCAAGAAGATGCTAAGAGCTCAAAAGAAAGCATTGGGCCATATGAAGCTCCAGGGTTTCCATTCACCCATCCCCGATTTCATAGCTACCCTAATACAAGTAATCCTTGACTTACAGCCACAATTGAATGCCAGATTTCCGTTGCTAAGTGAGAAAGTTGTTCAGTGAGTTTTGCTGTATTTTACGACCTTCCTTGCCATAGTTGTTAAGTGAATCACTGCAGTTGTTGAGTTAGCAACACAGTTGTTAAGTGAATCTGGCTTCCCCATTGATTTGGCTTGTCAGAAGGTCACAAATGGTGATAACATTATCCTGGGACACTGTCATAAGTACGAATCAGTTGCCAAACATCTGAATTTTGATCAGGTGACCACAGGGGATGCTGCAAGGGTCATAAGTGTGAAAAGCGATCGTAAGTCACATTTTTCAGTGCCGTTGTAACTTTGAATGGTCACTAAATGGACTCTTCTACGTAAGCCCAGTTAGTGTATGTCTTGTTCAGCTATGCAGAATGAAATAAAGCCGTGATATCACCTGGGATAAGAATTCAGTAATGCTAAGCTCTTTTTCTTTCAATATTTCAGTTTAGCAGTCTCTTCATGCCTTCTGGTTTTTAAAGCGTTTGCATAATCTATCTTTTCTCTTCCTCCCCCCATCTGCATTGGTCATTATAAAACCCTTTACTTACTTCTTTATAAAGGATTCATCCTGAATTCTGGTCTCGTCCATTAAGGTCAGCCCGCAGCTTGCTATTTATCTGTTAAACAAAATCGGAATTTCTATCAACTGAATGCATTTCAAGGACTTTGTTGAGGTAATTCCCCATTAGGAGAATGAGCGCATACAGGGAGACGTATTTGAGAGGAGTGTTTGAATAATACACACAGAGCACACAGATACACTGTACAGTAAATGTAGGTTTTTACTTCCAGAAACATTAAGCAAAGTCCAGAAGAGGCAGTCCAAAGTCATTCACAGGTAAAATCAGTCAGTTTTCATCCAGGGATAATCCAAATATCAAATTCCAGTGTCAAAAACAGTTCAGTATCAGACTTATATTAAATCCAGTAATATCAGTCAATTAGAAGAAATGGAGCAACGGCAATACTTTCCAACAGAAGGAAACAGAGATACACTTACACTCTCTTCTGAGACTCAGACTAAAACAACCCAGGTTTTGGGTTCCACCTTATGGCCATTTGAAAAGCCACACCCAATTGCAGTTTTTGCAATCTCTTAAAGACATAGTACTAAAATGTTTGTCCTGGTTTATATATTTCTAACCCAAATACCTGTTAGGTGACTTATATTCCTAACAGACTTCTCTCCTGCAAGCAATTTATCAGTTCATAAAGCTGAAGCGTTTCCTCTTAAGTAGGCTTCAGCCAGAGTATGATAAAAATTGCCTTTAAAATAGTTAATATTGCAACCATAAGCACCACTTTAAATCATTATACGCTGTGAAAGTTTTATTGGAATTTATCACACATTTTGCAGAAGTTTTAAATTGTTTCCATTAAGGCAACTCTAGCATGTAAAATAATGGCTTTAATAACTGCTATTTTAATAACAGCTTGGTATTTCTTCACTAGCTATTAATATTGATATATTATTATCCGTGCACAGCCATGTGAAGTCACAACTGTCAGTTCTTTAGCTGGTATTGGCATCCAGTTCTTCCCAAGAACCTAAGGCAACATAATGTATATATGCAGATCCAAGCGCATTTTTTGTTTTGTAATTGACAGGTGGAAATTTTGCCAGTGCGCAGATTTTTTTTAAGTGCTATGGGACTTCCATGTCTGGTTTATGCCACTCTATAATCTTTCAACTTCAATTTTCATACTTTGTGACCTTCTCCAATTCTTCCTCTTCCCTTTTACTATCCCTTGCTATTGCCAAATCCATTATCCACACTTTATTATGGTTATTATTCCTATTTACATGTAGTCTACTAATTTTAACGTTAGTCATACACTATACTAACATTACATGCAACACACTCACAGATACTTGATTTGATACTTTTGATTATCAGAGTCTTCTGAAAAATGTATATATTTATCATCCTCATCTCTTAGTCACTTTTGAATCACTTTTAAGCCTGAAAATGTTAAATTTTTGCAGATGAATGCTCATAATCTTAAGACTAGTCCTTAAATTTTTTTAAATGTTTCCCTTCCAGAGAGGTGTCAACATTCTAAAGCAATTAATAGATAACAGATAACAAATAATCAGAGTTGGAAGGGACCTTGTAGGTTATCTAGTTCAATCTAGTCCGCACAAGCGGGAGATCCTACACCATTTCTGACAGATGGCAATCCAATCTCTTCTTGAAAGTCTCAAGTGATAAATGTACGATTGATATTGTGAGAGAAGAACAAAATTATTTGCGGCTGGTAATTAAAAATATTTTTTTTAAATATTCAGATTTTATCTATTTGTTTCATACTGGCTGCTAGCCAGAATGGTCATGTTTGCAGAATCAATAGTAGCAACTGTAAGAACTGATGTAAGTTGCCATTTATAGTGGTTGACCCGATAGCTTTATTAAAGCTACTAGCTCGATACCTGTTCTTTGCTATGAAACTATGTGGTCTGGCTTAGTTTTGGGGGAGGAAAATAAGGGGGGAAAATTGTGCCTCTGCCTTCCAGCATCCATTGGTATTCATTTGGCTAGCATCCTGTCAGTGTGAGAGAGTTGAGGGCTGTTTGGAAACTGAAACAGAACTTGCTGTGTGAGCAGAGAGGAGACAGCAAGGAGCCTGGGCATGGCTTAGCTCAGCTGTTCTGTACTAAAGCTGGTTGCTGCTCTGAAACTGAAACTGAAACTCTTCTCCTCTGCTTGTGTTTTGCATTTGGAACAGATTTCAAGTGGGGAGGGGGAGTAAAACTCCTTAGCATCAAAGTGTTTTAATAACATAGGAAATACTAATGCTCTGATGGCCATTTGGAAAAATCCTTTCTTAGTGAGCACCTAGAAGTCAAGAGGAACATACGTGCCAAATTTCAAGTTTTTAGGCTTTACGGTTCTGGAGATTTTGTGATGATACGTGAGTGGTGTTTCGCTTTTATATATACAGATTATCAGCCGGCCACTCATTAATGATTTTGTTTCACAAACTATCCTTGCTAGTGTGCAGACCTGCAATTAGGAAGCTAAAGTCGCCTTTCAAAACTCTCATATTGTCCCCAACGGTACACAGGCCTTTGTCACAAGAAGAAATTGCCCAAAGACGTGAGCATGCGAGGCAGCGGCGTGCTGAAAAGTTAGCGGCCGCTCAAGAGTCAGCATCTGAGGGAATTGGAGGAAGTTTGATGGACCCAACTTTAGAGGCAGAAGAGAATCGAGGTAAGAGAAAGATCAGGATTAAATTGTTTATTAGGACAGAGGTGAGAAACTACAACCCCTTTATGACATGTGGATTTCAATTCCCAGAATTTCATGCTGGCTCAGGAATTCTGGGAGTTGAAGTCCACAGGTCATAAAAGGGCCCTAATTCCTCACTCTTGATCTAGGCGATAAATGGTAACGGTAGAGGGCACTCTGGCAGTAGGTATGAAACAAAGTCAACCTCTGCATTGGATTTCAAGTCCACACATCTGGAAATTGCCAAACAATGTCTTAGAGGCTGCTGGCAGCAGTTCTCTGCTAGTCCTAAGTTCTCACTATCATTCAACTGGCTTTGGGAACATTGCAACATACACCATGATAGCGTGTCAACAGCCAAATCTGGCGCATGGCAGTTTGCTGCTAGAAGTAAATTTGGGTAGCCTGTTTTCTCTCCAGCAGGCCTTTGAAGTGGTTATGAGAAATAAGCCTCTTTTGTTTTACAGAGCAGATGGTTCATGGTGCTTGCCAATAAATTTTGTAGTTTTGTTTCTCGTGTTGAACCTCCCTGGATACTTACTTGTGAGCGAACACTGTCAAATTCATTTGCAGCACCCAGGAGGAAAGAGAAATCTAGTTTGCTTCACATTATTGGGATGGCAATTAAATGTAGGCACTAGCACGTAACTGGTCCTGTACCAAATTTGCTTCTCTTTATTGATCCGGATGCCGGTCCCTTGGAAACTGTAGAAATATATTGTTGCAATGTCCACCCCATTGTGGATGGACAACACAGGCTTAAATCAGATTTTTTTCCCATAATTTTTTATTTAATATTTTTATTTATAAACAATTTTTAATCTTATTGAAAAGCATAACAATTTAAAAATACATACCAAGAAGGGGAAAAAAACAGTTTTATATATATTTATTTTAAACTTACCAGTTGTTACTGGTTTACTAGTGAACTCACTACTATAATATAAACAATACAAGTCTGTAGAGATTCTCCACCATCCAGATCGTGGTTGTCCCAAAGGTGCTTTTTTTCAGGAGGTAGCTGGATTTTCTTGTTTTTTCTTTTGAAGACGTTTCGCTTCTCATCCAAGAAGCTTCTTCAGCTCTGACAGGATAGTATTCCCCATTATCCTGTCAGAGCTGAAGAAGCTTCTTGGATGAGAAGCAAAACGTCTTCAAAAGAAAAAACAAGAAAGTCCAGTTGCCTCCTGAAAAAGGCACCTTTGGGACATAAACAATGCAAGTTACTATTGCAAGATATCACAAAATTTCTGCCATAACAACAGACAGAGCTGCATCTTCAAATTAATAGGAAACATTGCCTTTTCCCAAACATATATATCGCATTTCCGACAGTCATTCACTGACATACAGAACCGGGCCACTTTTCCAGTTCCCAACATGGAATATTATTCCTCCATCAGGGGATAACCAGCTGCCCACTCTTCAATCGGAGACCAACATCGTGGCTACTGAGAGAGAAGAGCTTGAAGCCAAGGAACCTTTCATTGCTTTTGCGAGGGTGTTTAGTGGTGTTGTGAAAAAGGGCCAGAAGCTCTTTGTCCTTGGACCAAAATATGACCCTGCAGAGTCACTGCACAAGGTAAGCTGCTGAGGTATGACGCATATGCCTTAACTTCCCCGTTTAGGAGGAACTCTGCTTTTTCCTACCTTTTGAAGGATGGCTGAACATTAAAGTAGGAATCCATGATATTTGTGATGACTTGGATCTACATCAGAAAGGTATTGTCTTTCTGAGGGTCACCCTACACTTTGCCCAGACAGTTGAGGGCTACAAAAGTAGATGAAGTCCCTGTTTTGGAGGTTGTAAGGGATAAAACGGGTATTCGGGACAGTGATGGGATGGAACTACTTTGACAACCGGTTTTGTGAGCGCATGCTTCACTAAAGTGCGCTTCATGCACACACGCAGCGTTCAAAAACCACCAATTTTAGCCTTTAAAGCAGAGGTGGCATTCAGCTGTTTCTGACCAGTTCTGGAGAACTGGTAGCGGACATTTTGAGTAGTTTGGAGAACCGGCAAATGCCACCTCTGACTGGCCCCGCCCCCATCTATTCTCCACCTCCTGAGTCCCAGCTGATCGGCTGGGCCTTCTTTGGTTGCCCTGCACAGGAGAACGGAGCTAGAAAGCAGGTTAGTGGGGTGGGGAGGGAATGGAGATTTTGCAGTATCCTTCCCCTGCCACACCCACCAAGCCACGTCCAGAGAACCTGTAGTAAAAATTTTAAATCCCACCAGTGCTCTAAAGCTTACCTTCTAGAGCGCCGCTGGTGAGTAAAACAGCTGAGGCACAGCAATGCACTGTGCCACACAAATCAGCTGAGCTGAAGAACACAGAAGGGTGGGGGCAGGTGGGGTGGCCCAGCTGATTGCTGTAACTACCAGTTCAGTAGAACCGGTCCAAACCGGCAGGAGCCCACCACTGGTTCAGGCCCTTGAAGATGTAAAAGATTCCTTTGAGCTCTTTCCTTCCCCCCCCCCCCCCAAGAGAAATATTCACTCATGGGTCCTGTCCAAGGCAGCACCTAGCCATTTTTTAACAGATAACAGATAATCAGAGTTGGAAGGGACCTTATAGGTCATCTAGTCTAACCCCCTGCCCAAGCGGGAGACCCTACACCATTTCTGACAAATTCAGTCCAGTCTCTTCTTGAAAGCCTCCAGTGATGAAACGCCCACAACTTCTGAAGGCAACTTCTGTTCCATCGTTGATTGTTCTCACTGTCGGAAAGTTTCTCCTTATTTCTAGGTTGAATCTCTCCTTGTTCAGTTTCCATCCATTCTTCCTTGTCTGGCACTCGGGTGCTTTGGAAAAGACTGACCCCTCCCTCCTCTCTGTGGCAGCCCCTCAAATATTGGAAGACCCCTATCATGTCTCCCTTGGTCCTTCTCTTCCCTAGACTAGCCATGCCCAGTTCCTGCAACCGTTCATCGTATGTTTTAGCCTCCAGTCCCCTAATCATCCTGGTTGCTCTTCTCTGCACTTTTTCTAGAGTCTCAACATCTTTTTTATAATGTGGTGAACAAAGCTGGATGCAGTACTCTAGGCGTGGTCTTACTAAGGCTTTATAGAGTGGTATTAGTACCTCCCTTGATCTTGACTGTATCCCTCTGTTAATGCAATTTAGGATTGCCTCAGTTTTTTGGGCTGCTGCTACACACTGCTGGCTCTAATTAAGAGCCAGTGTAGCCTGTGTAGCAGTGTGCTACACACTGCTGCTCTATCTAATTTCAAAGAAGAAAGCAAGGTTAGGCTTTCCGTAAGAAGCCACCAGGATATCCCAGGGCTATGAAATAAGTTTTAAGAAATCAAAACAAGCATATCAAGAGAAGGCAGTAACTAAACACGGTTCATGTTGCTGCCAAGGAAGTCAATGTATACAGGTAATCCTCGACTTGCAACAGTTCATTCAGTGACCATTCAAAGTTACAACAGGACTGGAAAAAAAGTGACTTATGGCCGTTTTTTACACTTAGTGACCATTGCAGGATCCCCATGGCCACATGATCAAAAGTCAGAGACTTGGCAACAGGTTCGTATTTATGACCCTTGCTGTGTCCCAAGGTCATGTGGTCTACTTTCGTGACCTTCCGGCAAGCAAAGGGGAAGGCAGATTCAGTTAACAACCAGGTTACTAACTTAACAACTTGCAAAGGTTCACTTAAAAGCTGTGGCAAGAAAGATCATAAAACACACTTAACTAATGTCTCACTTAACAACAGAAACTTTGGACTCAATTGTGGTCATAAGTAGAGGACTACCTGTATAACCAAGATATTCATCATGGGTTGAACCTGACTTGAGAAAGAATTTAATGGTATACAAGTAATCCTCAACTTATGACCACAATTGAGCCCAAAATGATGGTTGCTAAGTGAGAAATTAGTTAAGTAAATTTTGCCCATTTTATGACTTTTCTTGCCACATTTCTTAAGAGGATCACTGCCGTTGTTAAGTTAGTAACATGGTTGTTAAGTGAATCTGGCTTCTCCATTGACTTTGCTTGTCAGAAGGTCGCAAAAGGGGTTCGCGTGACCCCGGGACACTGCAACCGTCGTAATGTGATTCAGTTGCAAGTCTCTGACTTTTGATCGTGTTGCCATGGGGTCCATCTGCAACGGTCGCTAAGTGTGAAAAACAGCCATAAGTCACTTTTTTTTCCCAGTCCTGTTGTAACTTTGAATAGTCACTGAATGAACTGTTGCAAGTCGAGGATTACCTGTATACATTGACTTGTATCTGACTTTGTCCAGATACAAATCACGTGACCATGGGGATGCTGCAGTGGTCAGAAGTGTGGGAAATGGCCTTAAGTCACTTTTTTCAGCCCCATTGTAACTACAAACGGTCATTAAGCGAACCACTGTAAGTGGGGGACTACCTGTACATCTTACTTGTGGAATTTCTCTCCTCTCCTGAACAGGAGCAAGAATAAAATCTACTGTTAGGCCTTGGACCTTTTGGATGGGCTTCAGCTCATGCTTCTGGCCAGGGGTGGGCTTCAAAGATTTCAACAACGGGTTCTCTGCTCAGTACCGTGGTGGGCGTGGCCTAGTTGGTCTCCTGCACCACGGCGGGGTGTATGTGTGCGTGTGTGCGTGTGTGTGTGCGTTTTCGCCTTCCCCAGGCTCCGGAGGCTTTCCTCGAGCCTCTGGGAGAGTGAAAACTGCCTCCCCCGGGCTCCGGAGGCCCTCCAGAGGCCGGAAACGGGCCCATTTCTGGCCTTCCTGTTCTGTCCTGGCCTGTTTCCCCCTCCCCCAGCCTCCGCGTGGGCCCTGCACTTACCTTGCATCCAAAATGGGCCACTTGGGGACTCCTGGCAGGGGAGGGGCGAGCGGGGCCAGCCAGGGGTGGGATTTGGCAGTTCGCCGAACCAGCCACAATGTTAGCAACAGGTCCGCCCAAACCCAGCTGAACCCGTAGCAGCATCCCCCCCGCTTCTGGCTTACTAAAGGTGGACAATATTCCCGTTTCTCTTGCCATTTCTCTTGGCATAAAAACTCAGACAATGCCCTTCCTTGTTTGTTCGCGTAAGTGACGTCTGCTTTGGGGAGAGCTTTGCTGAAATCTGCTAGGAATCAGCAGTTCTTGAGTGACTCCTTTTTCCCCGCTTCCCTTTAGCTTCCTCTGGGATGTTCTCCTACTGAGACTCTGCCATCCGTGCCTCATTTAGCCTGCTGCACATTGGAGAACCTCTACTTATTAATGGGGAGAGAGCTGGAGGAATTGCAGGAAGTGCCCTCGGGGAATGTGCTCGGTAGGTGAACTAATTTTTTTCTATTGTGCCTTCCATGACTTATCACACATTCAAGACAGATGTTCTCAGAGCAAGTCTAATGATACCAGTGGCGGGATTCAAATTTTTTTTTTTACTACCAGTTCTGTGGGCGTGGCTTGGTGGGCGTGGCAGGGGAAGGATACTGTAAAATCCCCATTCCCTCCCCAGCCCACTAACCTGCTTTCCAGCTCCCTTCTCCTGTGCAGGGCAACCAAAGAAGGCCCAGCTGATCAGCTGGGACTCAATGGGAGGCAGAGAAGAGATGGGAGCAGGGCCAGTCAGAGGTGGTATTCCAAACTACTCAAAATTTCCGCTACCGGTTCTCCAGAACTGGTCAGAACCTGCTGAATACCCACCTCTGAATAATACCCACAAACCCATGACGTCTTCATAACTGAAAACTCCCTATGGATGGATAGGATAAATATCTCTACTTAGCCAGAAAAGGTTTCCAGCAAGTTTTAGCCCTGAAAATCATCATCTTTTTTTAATGACCCCATAATCCCTTGCAGGGTGGAGTCTAGGCAACCGAATGGAGCTAGCAGAGTGTTTACTGGCCGGATGTCCTTCCTGTCACCAGTATGGAGTTTTTTCCCCCAGCAGATATATTCTCATTGTGCCCAGAGAGAGAAATATCTGCCTCTACTAGGATCGAACTCACAGCCTCCTGATTGTGAGGCGAGAGCTCCACTTCTAGTCCACTGCACCACTCTGTTTTAACCCTGAAAATCCTTATAATAAAATTAATCAGGACAACATACAGTATAGAAGAGCCTCGGTGGCGCAGTGGTTAGAGTGCGGTAATGCAGACTACTTCTGCTGACTGCCGGCTGCCTGCAATTTGGCAGATTAAATCTCACCAGGCTCAAGGTTGACTCAGCCTTCCATCCTTCCAAGGTGGGTAAAATGAGGACCCAAAATTGTTGGGGGAAATAGGCTGACTCTGTAAACCGCTTAGAGAGGGCTGTGAAGCACTGTCAAGCGGTATATAAGTCTAAGTGCTATTGCTATTGCTATAACCAAATAATTAAAAACGGTAATGAAAATTCTCATTATCAAAGGGTAATGCCAACTTTGTACATGACTAAATACAGTGATACCTTGGCACTCAATTGCTTTGAAAATGATCATATTTGGTACCCAACGCACAAGCTAGAACTTGTCACTGTCGGTGACATCATTCCTTGTGGGAAAAATTTGCTTGGTGCTCAATTGTTTTTGGCATTCATCACGCCTGCAGGAACCAATTGACGATTAATTGAGGTACCATTGTAACTGGAACTGATTTCAGAGTGAATCGGCTGCTTGCTATCTAACCCAGGTTCCCTTGCAGTATGTCTGTGTTGCCAAGGAATTCTGGGAACTGTAGTCCTATTGCACCTGAAGGACACGGGGTAATGTAACCACTAATTGAACAGATAAGAAACTCAAAACTTGGCTAAATGTTGGCACAAGCATTGAAAGTGACCCAGTTCCTTATATACTGTTCTTCGTGTGAATCGTGTACTACGTTTTCCATGTCTGTTGTTCTGTTTTATGTATTTTAAAAGTAATTTTTTTACTTCCTTCTAAAAGATGTGGGAAACTTAATTTACCTTCCAACTCCTTGTTTACCATGGAAACTTCAAATCCTTTCCAGATGTCTTTTTCCCCCCAAAACCATTTAATTTGAGAACGCTGCCTTGGAAACCATGTGATTCTCATTTCTTTTCATCAGTGTTGGAGAAAATTATGAATATCAGCATGATTTTATCAAGACTGGTTTTGATTAGGTATTTTGGGAAAACTTTGTGCTTTTAGTAGCTTTTTTAAAAAAAATATTGCCTGGAATTTGGATTTATGAGACCTTATAAGTCTTCTTGCATCTCCCCCCCACCAAAAAACCCAGGATTTTAAAAACGGTCTTGTAGTTTCATCTTTTAGAGCAGGGGTATCAAACTCAAGGCCCAGGGGTCAAATCCAGCCCATTGGGTGCTTAGATCTGGCACTGGAAACAGTGAAGGACCAGCCCATGGTGCCTCTGCCAGCAGAAACAGCTTGGGACAGCCCACCCAGGCTCCGTTTTCAGCCACGATGGCCTCCTGCATCCCTCTGCTAGCAAAATGGGAGGGCCACATGTGGCCTCCCCAAGCTCCATTTTTGTTGGCCGAGGGTTGCAAGAGGCCATCGTGGCTGAAAACGGAGCCTTGATAACAGTGGTGGTATTCAATTTTTTTTACTACCGGTTCAGTGGGTGTGGCATGGTGGACATGGTGTGGCTTGGTGGGCATGGCAGGGAAAGGATACTGCAAAATCCCCATTCCCTCCCCACCCCACTAACCTGCTTTCCAGCTCCATTCTCATGTGCAGGGCAACCAGAGAAGACCCAGCCGGTCAACTAGGACTCAATGGGAGGCAGAGAATAGATGGAGGCAGGGCCAGTCAGAGGTGGGATTTGCCGGTTCTCTGATCTACTCAAAATTTCTGCTGCTGGTTCTCCAGAACCTGTCAGAACCTGCTGAATGCCACCTCTGCTTAATGAGTGATGTCAAGCTGCCCCCACATGCTCCCCCCCACCCAGGTCAAGCACAACCCTGATGAAAATCAAGTGTGACACCCCTGTTTTACAGCCTGGGCTAGCGTAGGCATTGATGCTTCAAAAAAAAAAAAACCCTTTCACTTACAGCTGGGCTTCCATCCTTTTTCCAGCCAAAGTGCTAGAAGCTTCATTTCAAAAAGTAGCAGGGAAAGTTCAGGCAAAAAAACGATGGTCAAAGTCAGAACCAAAACAGCCCAGCCCAAAATATATCCACGAAATCACCAGGACGTGAGCTAAACCAAAGGAGGTCTTTCCTATTTTTTTTAGCCGCAGGCAGTTCCAAACACATCATCTGCAGTTGTCTTCGGGGAAATGAATCAGTTCCATCACTCCATTAAGCATTTCTCGAGCCTTTGTTTTCGCACCGTAATATTTTTAAAAGAAGGGGAAATAGAGGAGGAAGAAGAGGAAGCAGCAGCAGGAAACCAGGCCACTGAAAAAGAGGAATGCTGTTGGCAATTCTTAGTTTGCAGGGAGAGATACTGGATATTCCATCTTGTGGTATATATGAGTGTATCCGTCTCTAAAATGTAAAACATCTGTCAGTGGTAACTCTTTTCAGGATGAATTAAAAAGCCAAAAAAGCCAGCCAATGACCTTTCGGGAAGCTTAATGCTGATTCAGTATCAGATTTTGTGGAGAGACATTAATTTATTTTTATTGTGTCCTGTCTTCTACGGATTTGCTGTTGTTTTCATCGCTAAGCTATCCAAACGTTTTTAAAGTTTAATTCCCCCACCCCACCCATGTGCTTTAACCTTTCAGTAATATTTTATAGACCTGTCATTTTCTTGCTTCTCCATTCAAGAAAGTATTTATTGTCCTAGTACTACAGTTAGTATCAGTAAAGATTTCTCACTTTGATGGTCTAGTTAAATCTGGATGGATAGCTTTCCATGTGAACAATTTTGAAAGTTGTGCTATTATTCTCATTGTTATTTTGGATTCTAAATCATATATTATTTTTCTGTTTCCTTTCACAATCTCTCTTTGTGTTTAACGCAAAAGACAAGCAGTAATTATATAATACATTCAAGAAATTCTATAGCAGCCACATCTGCACATAATACTAAACCAAGATTTGATGAACTGTGTTGAACCATACAGAGTTCATCTTTCCAACAAGCAAAGTTTATTTATGCCTTTCATAATCTGTTTTGGGCTATCCAGTTTTTTCTACCATTATCCAGAAGAAATGGACAATTGCAAAAAAATAGGAAAAGAGAAATGAAAGGATTCTGAATGGAATTAAAGCAAGTCATGATTAAAAGAAACCAGGGTTTGTCATCCAAGAGCAAAATATGGGTTTCAAATTGGGGGTTACTAGAAGAAACTAGCCATAGTTTCTGGTTACTTTAGATGGCTGCTGGTGGAATAAAATAATTTTACTGGCCTCTGGAGGTCTGAGGGTGATAGAGTGTCTTATTGAAGGTATCTTGATAAGTTTGGGGAAACCGAGTGAGATTCCAACTATCATTTTAAGCCATGATGGCTCAGTGGCTTAGAGTACCATACTGCAGGCTACTTCTGCTGACTGCTGGCTGGCTGCAATTCAGTAGTTCGAATCTCATCAAGCTCAAGGTTAACTCAGCCTTCCATCCTTCTGGGGTGGGTAAAACGAGGACCCAGACTTTGTAAACCACTTTGAGAGGGATGTAAAGCACTATAAAGTGGTATATAAGTCTTATTGCTATTGCTAATGGGCTTATGTGCACAGCGTTTCCTTTGTGTAATTCTACCATTGACAGTCAGATTTCCTCCTGTTTCTATAATGCAATCCTTGGTTCCATTTCTAAGTCAAAAGGATGTAAGAATGCTGTTGGAGGAATCCAGTGACCCATCCAGCTTGTTATCTGTAGCAAGTGAACTATCTGGATATCTCCAGACAGCCCATAAATGGAGCATGAAGAATACAGCTGTGGCTGCTGTTGCCCAGCAACAGTTGGGTAACTTGTTGCTTCTGATTTGTGGTTCCGTATAGCTATAGCAACTACGTTGAATTAGCAACAAGAAATTTCAGCATCTAGCAACAGCATTACATGATCAACTCAGAGCTGAAATAACACTTGGATGTAAGGCTGCAAGTTCTCTGAACCGTGGATAACATGGGAGCAAAAACAAAATGGTCGGACGGGAACGTTGAGACTTAAGTTGTAGACTTAAGGAGAAAAAAACTGTTCAGGAGATTGTCCCAAAGGTGCTTTTCCCAAAAGGCAACTAGACTCTCTTGAGTTTTTTTTCCCTTGAAAACCTTTCACTTCTTATCCAAGAAGCTCTTCTTCAGTTCTGGATAAGCTTCTTGGACGAGAAGTGAAACATTTTCAAGAAAAAAATCCTCCTAAGTAAGTCCAGTTACCTTGTTGGAAAAGCACCTCTGGGTAAACCATGATTGAGAATCTCC